TTTCTCGGAACAATTTTCAAAAAAAATATCTTAGTCACCACAAAACGATTCGCCTTTCGGCGACAGCTGGTGATCTCTGGTGCTTGGGCCTTCGAGTGCTTTGCTCTATCATCTCTGCCAACACTATTTCGCGGCGCCGCTCGCTGGAACTTTGCCAGGCACACTGGGTAGCGCTGCCCTGTGTTTGGCGGCTGGATCGCTTGGCCGAGCGGGGCGAGAGGTGATGGCTGGGAAGATTGGACGTGGTTGGGAGGTGTTGGTTGGTAGTTGTCTAGATACAGCTCAGAAGGCGCGATTGAGGCCGGGATAGCGGGGAGGAATGAAGTTGCTGATTAGTTCAGGATGATAAACGGTGACAGTGGTTGGAGGTAGTGGGTACCCCGATGCGGCTCTGGAGGTAGGGATTGGGGACAGGATACAAGCAAGAAAAAAGGGTGTTAGTCAGGAGTTCGAAGCAAGAACTGCAGATAGCAGTAAAGAGAAAATAAACTAACATGACACTACAAAAAAAGTAAATTAAACCTGAATTTATGAATAAAAAGAAAAAAAAAAAAACAAAATCAAGGAATTGAGCCTGTAACGAAAAATAGGAGAAGCAAAAGCAAACAAAAACTGAGCTTACGCGAGTAGGATTTGTCTTGAAAAAACCCGTCTTCAGTAAGCGGTCCCCGTATTTACGAGGTTTATGCTTACGTGAAGCTGAGGGCAAATAAGCTCGACAGGATTTACTGAAGCTTATGCTTAGGTGAAGTTGGGGGCAAATATGTCCAATTGGATTACACAAGAATTGCTGACAATTTCATAGTGTTACCTCTCGCAGCCTGCAACTGTGCACAACAGTTACACCTTTGTTTTTTTATCTTCAAAATCTCACAGGAGCAAAGGCTGACTTCATCCCCAGGCATCCATTATACCCTGTTTTTGCCCACTTCATGGAATTTGTTCGCTCTCAGCTTTACCTAAGCATCAGTTTCATAAATAGAAAGGTCTGATGACGGGTTTTTGTGGAACACTTTACCTAAACATCAGTTTCTTAAAAACGGAAGTCCCCTACTGACGACGGGTTTTCCTGGATCTGTTTCCACTAGCAAAACCTCAGTTCCTTTTGCTTTTATCCATAAAGTTAGGTTTGCTTTAATTTACTTTTATTTGTATGCGCAGTGTTGTCTTTTTCTCCTTACTGCTATCTCCAGTTCTTGCCTCGAGTTCCTGACTTGCATCCTCATTCCCCTCTCTACCCTGGCCCAAATCCTGCTAGCAAACAAGATATAAACCCCTGTTCATCCCTACGATAACATCACTGTTCAAACAAACAGTGTTTACCTTTCCCTACCCCACGCATCTACGATAAAAACCAGAAGCACACTTCCTCATCCTTTCCGTTCTTCACTGTTTCCCTTTCCCCTCCAAATACACGTTATTTAGTCAACCGATAAAGAATCTACACCATTTAGTCCTTACATCCACCTATCCTAGACCGCCTCTCTTGTCTCGAACGAAACCCGCCACATGCCACCCCTACTTCCACTTCCCACATTCAAACTGCCGCCATCCACCGTTGAGCAGACCCAGCTGCCGTCGGCAGAAAAAATTTTTTGCGGCTTGTGTATGAGACGAGTCGAGCCGTGTTTTAGTAATTTCCGGTTTCCTGTTTCCGGCTTTATCAGGTATGTGGCATGTTTCCAGCTAGGACTGGCTTTATCTTGGCATCTCCAACTGGATGGGAGGTTCCTTGCATCTCGGGGAAGGGGGGGGGGGGAGGAAGGCAGGGCCACGTGTGGTTTATATTAAATTAATTCTTAT